GCCATGCTTAATTACCACTAGCTCAGTCGATGGGATAATTGCAGTATTAGACATTCTAGTATCTTGTTGAGCTGCGTGCTCGAGACATCTGGCCATGCTTCATGGTCGTAATTATCCAACTAAAATGCGACTGAATGGTGGGCTGTGGGTGCATGGTTTTGCTAGTCGCACCCATGGCAATTAAGGACCGGTTCGCGGGATGCCCAGGAAGAACTTATCGTACTTACCACAAGCCAGCGTGGGCAACGGTTGGGCTTGTAGTGTAGCTTTCCTCTAGCTGACGCATCCAGGCAAGGGTGGGCGTGATGGAGCGGGGCGGGCCCTGCGACGGCCTCTGTCACTTCCGGATTCACCTAGGCACGAGAGGGGACTACCCGTCGCCCGCTGGGGACGGGGGTGAAACCTGAGGTGTGGTGTGCTTGGCTAGAGGGGGTTATGCGAAGGGTCCTGTCACGGCCTCTTTCCGGTATGTCGTGGTGGCATGTCGGCGCACGGTAACGTGTCATGGGGCTGTGTCTTGTGGGTACAGTTGTACACCTCTGATCAGAGTAAAACTATTCGAATAACCGTGCCCGCGGTTATGGGCGGTCGACCAGATTCACCGTGATTAGTCTCACACTTAATAAATCGACCCAATACACTGTAGTTCATGTGGGTTGGTTGGGCCTGTTCAACGTGGTGTAGCGTTGATCAGTGGAGATTTAATGTTACTCTAATTACTCAACAGTTTTACTGTTTTGCTCAATAAAATGTTTTACAACCGCCTTTATGCAAATAGCCACAAACCATCCTTGTATCCCCTTGCATGTCTGCATCGTTGGTGTGGCTTGCTGAGTACGGTGGTTGTACTCAGCCTTGCTATTATTCCCCCTTTTCAGAAGTGTAGTGCTTCTGAGCTGAAGATGAAGTTAGAGGACCAAGGCTCAGACCACAGTTGAGTTTTGCCTGTGGAGTGGAGCTGAAGCCCCGCTAGGATCGCCTTTTTCCGCTGCTACTGCTTTCGTTTCGGTGCGAGGACTAAGTGCCTCTTTTGTAAGTATTTTACGCTTTATTTACGTTTGGAACTGTATATTACTTGTCGTTTTGTGTACCCTGGCTGGTCCTGGACAGGGATTTAATACACAAAATAGTCTGGAAATTTGGGCTAAATTTCTGGGCGTGACACAACCGGGGCTAAATACGGAGGAATACCCTCCCCAGGGAATTAACGTAGGATTATATACCAGCGCAGAGGAATACCCGTACTGAGCTGTCACCATCAGCGGCCCACCTCTCATCCGCAATATATAACCCTAAATAATGATATCCCGTAATCTAGACACCACGCCTAAACTACCAGATACTACTCTAATATCATCGTCATGACATAGAGTAATTGCATAAGCAAACATTATACCCACACCAAAGCATCTCCCAGATAGGCTAGCCGTATATTCAGTATAACATGAACATAATGTAAAATAGGTATTCATATACTCGGAAAGTATTTCAATACCATAAATATATTTAGAAGAGTATTCTAATAAAAGTACAAAGCTTACAAAAGAGAAGAGAAAAGCTACTAGAGCCATACCCGAACTCTTCCGAAGGCTTCCAGACTCCTGATTTCTACTCTATTCCTATTCCACCAGCAGGATACTACTAAACGAAACTTGAGAGAAATGAGAGAGCTATTGCTTGAGGTGTGTGTTGAAGTGAAGAGAGTGAACTCCTTAAATAGGCAGGTAATGACGGTTATGGCGGTTGGAAAGGTCGGTAATACCCTCCAACCGCCATAGGGAGTGAATCTCCACCATTCCCTCAAAACCCTGCATCCATTGGCGCTGGCAGAGGCTGAACCAGGGACCGGCCCAACCAGCCCACATTTTGGCTGGTGGCCTCCTCCACTGCTTCACTTCGTAGACTTGTGAATTTTGGCCTAATTCATCGTGTGAATTTTGGCCTAATTCATCGTGTCAATTCTGCGTCCTTGGTCCATTCATTCATAAGTCTGATTCTCGACATCGTCCGATTGATTTATCTTCTATGTTGATGTCGATTCTCCTCCACTTTAGTGTCATTCTCTGCAAAAGATTAGTATACCTACTACTAGTGGAATATTATTATTCTAACATATTTATGCATTGCAAGTATCACTAGTTCTCCTCTATTTTGGTAATAGTGATGGTCGAAACTGATCGATAACGACCGTCTACAAAACCCCCCAACCATGAACCTTTGCTCGTCCTGAGTGAAGGACGAAAGGGAACAAAGACTTGGTTGTTGATCAGGAGTTGCTACTATGCTGCATATCTCAAAGATACAGGTGCGAGGTATATGTACTCTCTCTCAGATTAAATAATCTTTGGCACGGTGGCTTACCCTTACCCACGAGACACTGCTTCTCCTTGCCTTGGGCGGTTGAAAGACAGAACAGCAATTTCGAGTACCAATCACTCCATCTTTCTTCAACTCTTATTCTGGAAGTTTTCAAACGATTTTGCAAAAGAAAACCAAGTTCCTCAAATGATTCACTCAGTCTCTCCAAGTGTATCAATTTGAATTCCTCACCAAATTGTTGCCTATTTTATTCGTACTCTAAGGTTTGATATGTGGAGCTTGGTAGGGATCAAACATGGCATACTTGCATTCACATTTATCACTAAGTCAAAAACTTAGACTAGAGCAGATAACTAAACATACTCAAGATCAAGATCATGCAAAATGTGTGTGTGGTATATGAGGAAAAAGAAAAAAAAATGTTTCTCCTTTGTGCTTACTTCCTTCTCCCAAAATCCTTCTTTTATTGATTAGGAGAGAGCATGGCTACCATTCTCTTTTTTTTTCTTTTTTTTTTCAACATCATGCTCATGCTTGACGGAGCATAACTTTTTTTTCATAACCATGCCTTTCCCTCCTTTTTTTTTCAAAAGGACTTCTCTTTGTAGGAGAAGAAAGCACATGAAAGCATGGAGAATTTATTTTGGTGGTAAAATGGGAATGGAATGAAATAGTGCTTAGCTCCCAGTGTAGGAGTTTAGCATGTGCATAAATGTGGGTGTATGATTTTGATCATAGAGCATGAGAAGTATCTACACAAATCACAAGAGTTTGACAAAATTCAATGGAATGGCAAGTAACCAAAATGTATATGGTTTAATTATGATAGCACATTTTTGGCTCTGGTAGGAATTTATATCAAATGAGGAACTTTCAAACTTATTATTTTGAAAAACAAAACATCTGGAATTCAAGTCGAACTAGGATCAGGATCATAGTAACTCTTATTTACTATCTCATATCTTACAACAACCTAGACTTAGATAAGCAAGTGCAGCCCATTTACCTCAGGTTCCTGGATAATTGTTGGCTACTTATATTTAACTTTTGAGAAAGTATTTACCAAGAACCCATATATCAGAGATATATAACAGAGAAACTATTCATCATTTCAACAAAGAGAACTAGCTTATCTTACCTAGCATGACTCAAACATATCCTATCTTTTTGGTATTTTCTATTTTGCAAACTTTTATGTTGTTTTCATTTTTATAAGATGCATTTGGAAAGCAAATATGCAATTGAACGGGAAATATGTAATGTGATACAAGTTACCTTAGTAGGGGGAACGATGTCTCCCCCCCCCCCCAAGCTTGGCTTTCGCTCAGGGTCCTTGATAAGGATTGAACCCCTAAAAACGAAAGTACGCCTGAAGGTCATTATGCTGTTGCTGCATCATGTTGTTGATGTTGGCGAACTAAGCATTAGCAGATTGTTGCCATTCTTGCATTTAAGCTATGTGTTCCGTGAGGTTGTACTGGATCTCCCCTGTCTGCATATCAAGGGTGTCCATTCTCCTAGTGATTTCACCCAAGTCCCAACGAGAGGAACTCGAGCGCCATTCACTTGGAGATGGAGGCACACCACTTGACCTAGGAGGTTGATTGTCCCCCCCCATTGGATATCATGAGGCGCATGCCACCGGTCCTCACTGGCACTTGCCCAGGTTGAGACTCCGATGCTATGGCGTGGAGCTTGGGTCCATCCGGGTGCATCCCCAGTTGGTGCCCAACCTGCCTCATACATCTGCACGGGTGTCGAGGATGATGAACTTTCTAGTTCGTTTCTTGTCATGTTGCACGTCTCCCTGTATGTTCCACCTGCACGAGATTCTTCTATGGTTTGCAGGGGAATGGTTAGTTCATGGCAGTTGTACAAATGATACCCTGCATTTGGCAACGGGATTTCATTTGTACAACTGGGGAAAAAGTATATCAAAGATCCATCTACTCCATGTTTCAGAATATGCCTTGCACTAGATAAGCATCAATATGCGGACGAGCGGCTGAGATAAAAGCAATTTGGTCGCTAACGACCCCTAGCCCTTTTGCTATCCGAGTAATCAGAGAAGTGCACTCAACAGGAGCAGAGAACATTATACTTTCTAACCATTGCCTTATCATACAATTCAATTTTGATCTTTCTAACCATGGCAAACATGATAATCAATTTATCTCCCCTAATGGGTCTCAGATCACCTCTAGGAAACAAAGTCATAGCAATCCATTTGTGCATGAGCCTAAGTGTAGGATTATGAATGTCATTCGTCCTATGTTTCTTGCAAATTGGAGCACCAGAAATGTGTTCCCAAAACCTATTTTTCTCGAACCCAGAAATTCCTTTCTGCATATCGATCTTATAGGAATCGTGAAAACCAAGAAGTGTACTTAAGCCTTTCCATGTAAGTGTGTACTCCTTATGGAAAAAGCGAAAGAAAATTCCATCTTCTATTTCTTTCAAAGTGCACAGGAATTGCAAAGTAAGCAAACGAGAACCGGGCTCATCTACCACAGCAAATCTCTGCCAACCAACAGCTTTCCAAATAGAACGAAATTCAACATCCATACCTATCTTTTTCAGCAGCTCTGATGAGTATTCTCGTGTGTGAGCATACTCCCGGTCGCTCAGCATGTAGTAGGCTTGTCTCTCCTGATCACTGACAAGGTCGAGGTCGGTGTCGTTCAGGAGTCGTCGCGGAGCTTCGGCGCCTTCCATTGAGACATCGGCTGATGAACGAGTACTAGACTCGTCATGATGACTTAGTGAAGAGCCAGACCCTTTGAACAGACGAGACAGTCGCCTCCTCATTCTACACAATGGAGCAAGAACGGACTAACCCGGCGGGGGTTAGGAATGACAAGAATTTCATCCGCCGGTTAGTTTTACCAAAGCAACTTGTATATATGCAACTAAATATTTGAATTTGAGGGAAACTATCAAAGCTTGAATGAACTTGAGAGCAAACTTTGGAGAGGGAATGAAAATGTGTTGAAATGGGGTGAAGTCCCCTCTCCCAGCCGGTTGGCTTAAGTAGCGCACCCACAACGGTCACAACTGACCCATGGGGCCCACTAGCCGTTGCCTCAAAGGAAGAGGCAGCCGACCGTTGGCCTGGCCGGTTCGGCCGAACCAGGGTGTTCGGCCGAACCCCTGGTGGGCCCAATCGCCCCCACTTTCGGCCGTTGGAATCCAACGGTCAGTGTGGTCGTAGCACAGCGAATTTTCACTGAAAATTTTATTTTGGTTTGTTCTCTAACAAAAAAAATTCATTTGAAGAATTTCCTCATAATTCAAAAATCCTAAATGCAAATTTGAAATTCAAACATGCGGTGATGCAAAAATTCAAATTGTTGAAAGCAAATATGCGGATACATACCAATTTACCTGTTGGTGAAGGTCGCGTCATTTAAAGTCCAATGTGCAAGACCGTACCTCCTTCTGATTTAGTTCACGGATTTTCTACCCATCTCCGGAGGTGATGGAGTGAGCGTCTTTTGCTTCTCCCTCCACACTTTCTTTGGTTTTGGTGCGGACGGCGGCTTTTTCTGAGTCGGCTGCTCTAGCTTTTTGGCCGGTATTGGGCATTTTACCGGCGTCTTCCAATAACGGTTCCTGGGAATCGTTGTTTCCTTCTCTAGGAAATTCTGCATGAACTTCACCAGGCTGTCCGTCTTGGGTGGCTCCACCTCGACCATTTGAATATTCTGTGGGTTCGGCCCGTACTTCATTCTGACCATAGAGCACTGTTCCGTCCTCGGTTGAAACTCAAACTTTTCCTCCTTCCCGTTGATGTGGAAACGGATACTCCCAGTTCCCACATCAATGTTGGCTCTCGCGGTGCTAAGGAACGGACGCCCCAGGATGAGCGGCGTCTCTTTTCCCGTGTCCATATCCAGCACCACGAAGTCAACTGGGGTGAAGAAATCCCGTATCTTGACTGGCACATCCTCCGCTATCCCCGCCGGGTAACGGACTGATGAATCAGCCAGTTGGAGGCACATCGGTGTTGGTGCCAACACCGTGAAGTTGAGCCTGTCGAAGACATCTTTTGGCATGATGCTGACACTGGCTCCCAGGTCGCACAAGGCCTGGTCGAATTGTTGTGCCACGATTGAGTAGGTGATCGTAGGACACCCCGGATCTTTCTTCTTTTTCGGGAGCTTGTGGAGTATCAGGTTACTGCAGTGCTCCGTCAGCTTGACCACCTCCATTGTTGGGAGCGGTCTCTTGTTGTTGAGTATGTCCTTGAGATAACGGGCGTATGTTGGCACTTGCATGGCCTCCAACAACGGCACGTTGATGTGGATCTTCTGGATTACTTCAACAAAACGAGCGAATTGCTCGTCTACTGACGGTTTCCTAAGCCGTTGAGGAAACGGCAGCAACCGTGTGTCGTAGTACTCCTGCGGCAGAGTCTTTTCTGGCTGAACCTCTTTGTCAGCCGAGTCATTAGATGACGCTTCTTTTGACATCCCATTGGTTCCTGCAGGGTTAGGATATGGCGGATCACGAGGGACTTACCTCCCCTCGTCGTGATCACCTTAACATTTTCACCTGAGGGGTCGGGTTGCCCCGGGATCCTCCTAGTTTCATTTGCAGGGACTAAGGATGCAACCTGAGCTAACTGGGTCTCTATCATTTTATTAAAGCTCAGCTGATTTTGAAAAGCAGAAGCAAAGCCATCTAGTTTGACATTGATGTTTTCTAGGACCTTTTCATTAGCAGCAAGCTTTTTGCTTAATGCATCAGTAGTTTTAGCTTGCGCAAAAACGAGATCCTTCAAGGAGGGCTGGTTAGAAAAGTTACAGTTATTGTTACCTCCTTGATAATATGGGCGTGGTTGGTTCCACCCCTGACCTCCTTGTGGACAGTACCCGTTGTTGTTGCCCATGTACATCGCCTCCTCACGGGTTTTCTGGCAGTCATTCCCAGAATGATCCGTGTTGCTGCAGACCTCACACGTGACATGAGAGTCCAAGGCCTTGACGGTGCCTTGTGACCTTTTCTTGTGGTCGTCCAAGCGTTTCATGAGGAGGTCCAGCTTGGCAGCAAGTAATTCCGTCTCCTTGATGGTGTGCATGCCTCGCTGTCGGGTCTGGAGTCGTTTCTCTCTCCAACCCATATTGGAAACCATCTTCTATATTAGTTCAACGGCTCCTTGAACCGTTTTAGAGAAGAAGGCTCCTCCAGCTACCGTGTCCAGGTGATCGCGGGAGATTGGGGTGAGTCCATTGTAAAAATTCTGCAGGATCAACCAGTTATCCATCCCATGATGAGGATAGGTGGCCACGTACTCCTGTAGTCATTCCCATGCTTCTAGAATGGACTCGTCCCTTGTCTGCTGGCAACTGGAAATCCTTCCACGAAGGGCATTGGTTTTGCCCATCAGGAAGAATTTCGAGAGGAATGCCGTAGAGCATTTGTCCCAGGTGTTGACATGATGCGAACCCGCTAGGGTTTGTGGCCCGATCTTTCGATGAGAGGTAAGGGATAACTCGATTAGATGAAGTCGACGTTCACGGCCCGACTACAACTGTCCAAAGACGCTGCGCCTTAGCAACCGATACACCGTCTCCAATGGTCGCCGCGAACTTGTGGTACGCGTCAACCCGGCCATGAGGGCACTCATCCTGCAAGCAATCGAAGAACAAGCAAGAACAAGTAGGACAAGCACTGAGATTGCTAGATAAAGATGAAAGTTTCACTATCAAACACAATATGGTGGGGTTCCGATTACAGGCAGACGGGCGGTTTAGCCAACACGCGCGCTGCGAGCCGGTAGCAAGAAGCTATCTCTATCATCAAAACTCGCCTGTTCTTGGCGGCGACTAGAGGTATAAAAAGAGGGGAAGAACGATCATAGGGTCGTGCTCCAACCCTAGGACGCGCCCCTAATGGGCCCAACATGGATACACAGCCCATTGGGCCAAAAGAGGTGACGCAGCACCATGGACAGAAAATAGTCGGGAGTAAAATGACAATTGCGGCCGCTCCAGAACAGATATGGACATGTGGCTGGATCCATTTGAAAGTAGACTTGATAAGCTTTCCATGAAGTACTTGCACGCCCAAATCGGAGTTCGCATGAAGTCGTGGCGGCCGTTAGAAGTTGGCGCTGCCCTGCAGTCCGAATCCACCCCGCGCGAATCCTCTTCCCTTTGGATCCTCTCCATCGTTCCTGAGTAAAACACGAGTGCACGCGTCTCCGAGGTATAAAGACGAGGAATATGAACTCAAGAAAGAACTCACCTGATAATTTAGTTGACGTGCACGAGCGCGGGTAATAGGACCATCATGCTGTATATGGGGGGACGTGGATGTATCGATGGTGTTGATGTCCTCATCATCCTCCCCTTCTTGCATTTGAGTCGTCCTCGACTCAAGCTCATCTTCTTCTCCCAAATACGGCTGCAAATCTGCAACGTTAAATGTGGGACTAACCCCGAAATCTGCAGGCAAATCAATCTTATATGCATTCTCATTAATCTTTGCTAACACTTTAAATGGTCCATCAGCTCTAGGCATCAATTTAGACTTTCTCAAATCAGGAAATCGTTCTTTTCGCAAATGCAACCAAACCAAATCTCCAGGTTCAAAATTCAATTCCCTTCTACCTTTGTCACTAGCAAACTTATACTTAGCATTCATGCGCTCTATGTTTTCTTTAGTTGTCTCATGCAGTTTTAACATCAACTCAGCACGTTGCTTAGCATCAAAATTCAGTTTTTCAGAAGATGGTAAAGGCATCAAATCAATTGGAGCACGAGGCAACAAACCATACACAATCTGAAATGGGCACATTTTTGTAGTAGAATGCAAGGAACGATTATAAGCAAATTCAATATGAGGCAAGCATTCTTCCCACATCTTGATATTTTTCTTCAAAACAGGCCTAAGCATAGTAGACAAGGTTCTATTCACCACTTCAGTTTGTCCATCAGTTTGGGGATGACAAGTAGTAGAAAACAAAAGTTTAGTCCCCAATTTAGCCCACAAAGTTCTCCAAAAATGGCTAAGAAATTTTGTGTCACGATCAGAAACAATTGTGTTTGGCACACCATGCAAGAGAACAATTTCTCGAAAGAACAAATCAGCGATATGAGAAGCATCATCAGTTTTATGACATGGTATGAAATGTGCCATTTTAGAAAATTGATCCACAACCACAAAAATGCTATCACGCCCCCTCTTGGTCCTAGGCAATCCTAACACAAAATCCATTGAAATATCTTCCCAAGGAACAGTAGGAACAGGAAGAGGCATATACAAACCATGTGGATGTAAGCGTGACTTAGCCTTTTGACATGTAGCGCAGCGAGCAACGAACCTGCCAACATCTCTTCGCATATGTGGCCAAAAGAAATGACTAGCAAGGATGTCATGTGTCTTCTTGGCACCAAAATGTCCCATCAAACCGCCTCCATGCGCTTCCTGCAACAACAACAAGCGAACGGAGCTAGCTGGAATGCATAGCTTGTTAGCTCTGAAAACAAACCCATCATTGATGACGAATTTGTTCCATGTTCTTCCATCCTTACAATGCAGCAACACATCATTAAAATCAGCATCATGCGCATATTGGTCTTTGATTGTTTCCAGGCCAAAAATCTTGTAGTCAAGTTGTGTCAACAAAGTGTATCTCCTAGACAAAGCATCAGCAATGATGTTCTCCTTCCCTTTCTTGTGTTTGATAACATAAGGAAAAGATTCAATAAATTCAACCCATTTAGCATGTCTACGGTTCAGCTTCCCTTGACTACGAATATGCTTCAAAGACTCATGATCAGAATGTATGACAAATTCCTTGGGCCACAAAAAATGCTGCCATGTTTCTAAAGTTCGCACAAGAGCATACAATTCCTTATCATAAGTAGAATAATTCAGAACAGGCCCACTCAACTTTTCACTAAAATATGCAACAGGTTTTCCTTCTTGTAGCAAAACACCACCCAATCCAATCCCACTAGCATCACATTCAAGTTCAAAAGTCTTATTAAAATCGGGAAGTTGGAGGAGAGGTGCATGGGTCAACTTATCTTTCAACATGTGGAAGGCGTTCCCTTGTGATGTGCCCCAAGTGAAAGGCACTCCCTTCTTTGTAAGCGCATTCAATGGTGCAGCAATGGTGCTGAAATCCTGCACAAAGCGGCGATAGAACCCCGCGAGTCCTAGAAAGCTCCGCACTTGTGAGACCGTTTTAGGAGTCGGCCAACTCTGAATTGCCTCAACCTTGGCTTGATCAACCTCAATCCCCTGCGGAGTTACAACATAGCCAAGAAAAGAAACTCGATCTGTGCAAAAGGTGCACTTCTCAAGGTTACCAAATAAACGTGCATCACGAAGAGCATTAAAAACAGCACGTAAATGATTAAAATGTTCACCCATAGACTTGCTGTAAATCAAGATATCATCAAAGTAGACCACCACAAATTTTCCAATGAAAGGAGTTACAACTTTTTTTTTATTTTTTTTTTTGATATTTTTTTCACAACCAGGAGCACACTAGAACCAACCACAGAAAATCTTATCTCAAACGGACAAAGTATGAAGCTTGTAGAATTTTTTCAAAGTTCTATGCGAATAGGTCCCGAAGCTTCTCGCCACAAAAACAGAATTTTGCAAGAGGAATTTGGCGATTTTAAATTTGCCAAAGCTGGGGAGAATCGGATGTAACTTTTTTTGTAGATGCCCGTGGATATATTATAAGCCTAATTTCGAGTCCGTATGAAAAAGATATGACTGTTTTAAGGAAGGTCACTCGAATCAGGGTTCTATTTCCTTTCTAGTGGCGGCAGGATACAAGGCAACTAACAAAAGCTATCGGCAACAGATCAAACACAAATATAAAGTGATTTGGTGGGTGACTGCGACGGTGGTGACGGTGGTGATGACGGCAAAATTGATGAAGGTGGCGATGTGCGGTGGTGGCAAGAACTCGAAACTCTAATCGCCTAACACTAAGACCAGCAAATTAACACAACCGATGCAATCGAAAACTCAACAAGCCTTAACTAAGCAGTACTAGTGAAAAGGCACAATGGTCTATAGGATCATGGAAAAACTAATCTACTATTTTTTTGTTGGTCTTTTCTGGACTATAGGAAAAAAAAATTAATGACGAAGGGAAGGGTAAATTCACTCACCGATGAACCACGCTCTGATACCACCTGATGCGAACCCGCTAGGGTTTGTGGCCCGATCTTTCGATGAGAGGTAAGGGATAACTCGATTAGATGAAGTCGACGTTCACGGCCCGACTACAACTGTCCAAAGACGCTGCGCCTTAGCAACCGATACACCGTCTCCAATGGTCGCCGCGAACTTGTGGTGCGCGTCAACCCGGCCACGAGGGCACTCGTCCTGCAAGCAATCGAAGAACAAGCAAGAACAAGTAGGATAAGCACTGAGATTGCTAGATAAAGATGAAAGTTTCACTATCAAACACAATATGGTGGGGTTCCGATTACAGGCAGACGGGCGGTTTAGCCAACACGCGCGCTGCGAGCCGGTAGCAAGAAGCTATCTCTATCATCAAAACCCGCCTGTTCTTGGCGGCGACTAGAGGTATAAAAAGAGGGGAAGAACGACCATAGGGTCGTGCTCCAACCCTAGGACGCGCCCCTAATGGGCCCAATATGGATACACAGCCCATTGGGCCAAAAGAGGTGACGCAGCACCATGGACAGAAAATAGTCGGGAATAAAATGACAATTGCGGCCGCTCCAGAACAGATATGGACATGTGGCTGGATCCATTTGAAAGTAGACTTGATAAGCTTTCCATGAAGTACTTGCACGCCCAAATCGGAGTTCGCATGAAGTCGTGGCGGCCGTCAGAAGTTGGCGCTGCCCTGCAGTCCGAATCCACCCCGCGCGAATCCTCTTCCCTTTGGATCCTCTCCATCGTTCCTGAGTAAAACACGAGTGCACGCGTCTCCGAGGTATAAAGATGAGGAATATGAACTCAAGAAAGAACTCACCTGATAATTTAGTTGACGTGCACGAGCGCGGGTAATAGGACCATCATGCTGTATATGGGTGGACGTGGATGTATCGATGGTGTTGATGTCCTCATCATGACAGCAGCACGGTTGGCATAAAACCACTGCTTCGCTCTCTCCAAAAGTGAGAACGGAAACAGCCGCAGCCTGACGGCGTTGGGACTAACGCCCTTGATGGTGTACGTACTATAGATCTCCAGGAACTGTTGCAGATGAGCATTGGCATCCTCATTAGGCTTGCCACAGAACGGGCTAGCCTGCGCCATTGTGATAAGGCTGGACTTTAAGTCGAAATCCACGTCCCCTATGTTGACCTGCGGCCCAATGGCCACATTGTCAGCATAGGGAGCAGCGAACTCGCGAACAGTCTTGCTGGCCATAGTCTTGAAGGTCGGTGGCGCTGGTACGGCTGGTTTCTCTGTCGGTAGAGTTTTCTGCAGAGCAACGACTCGCGGTCTGATGCTCCGGAAGAAAGCTTTTGGATTTTCTTTGAAGTTTTCCGGCATATTGAAACCAGTCATGCACTACCCTGTTTCCACAACAAAAAGTGAAAACAACCAAGGTTAGTCTGCAAAGGAAAATGATTACACAAAGGTAAATATAAAGTATTAGTTCAAGTAATCTCTATTATGAATCTTCCCCGGCAACGGTGCTAGAAATGCTTGTTGGTATTTTTTAACGACATTACTAGAAATATAATTCTCAGCAATGCCGCTGAAATACTTCTGGTATATTATGGTTACAGAGTTCATCCGCAAGTGCACGGATATACCATTGTAGCATTTCACCTGAGAGTATTCCAAGGGTATTGTATTTATTTTATCCCGTGGGAAGATCATGTAGAGAGAAGTCAACTAATAATTTATATATTACTTGTGATAATCATATTCTAAGCAGGGGTTAAGATTATTCAAGGGTAGAGTGACACACAAGCAGTAACTATTCATTCTCATAATAAATCATCTAAGCTCAGTGGAAAGAAAAGAGAAAGAAAATATATTCCTATACTTCTAATATACATAGTATATATGCATTAGCTAATACCCTCTATCTGATGCCCTCCTGGGACTTCGAGAAGCCACCTCTGACTACCGAGTTCCTTACGACAGCCCGTCATGACCATACAACCGAGGCTAAATACGGAGGAATACCCTCCCTAGGGAATTAACTTAGGATTATATACCGGCGCGGAGGAATACCAGTACTGCGCTGTCACCATCAGCGGTTCACCTCTCATCCGCAATATATAACCCCAAATAATGATATCCTGTAATCTAGACACCACGCCTAAACTACCAGATACTACTCTAATATCATCGTCATGATATGGAGTAATTGCATAAGCAAACATTATACCCGCACCAAAGCATCTCCTAGATAGGCTAGCCGTATATTCAGTATAACATGAACATAATGTAAAATAGGTATTCATATACTCGAAAAGTATTTCAATACCATAAATATATTTAGAAGAGTATTCTAATAAAAGTACAAAGCTTACAAAAGAGAAGAGAAAAGCTACTTGAGCCATACCCGAACTCTTCCGAAGGCTTCCAGACTCCTGATTTCTACTCTATTCCTATTCCACCAGCTAGATACTACTAAACTAAACTTGAGAGAAATGAGAGAGCTATTGCTTGAGGTGTGTGTTGAAGTGAAGAGAGTGAACTCCTTAAATAGGCCGGTAATGACGGTTATGGCGGTTAGAAAGGTCGATAATACCCTCCAACCGCCATAGGGAGTGAATCTCCACCGTTCCCTCAAAACCCTGCATCTATCGGCGCTGGCAGAGGCCGAACCAGGGGCCGGCCCAACCAGCCCACATTTTGGCTGGTGGCCTCCTCCGCTGCTTCACTTCGTAGACTTGTGAATTTTGGCCTAATTCATCGTGTCAATTCTGCGTCCTTGGCCCATTCATTCATAAGTCTGATTCTCAACATCGTCCGATTGATTTATTTTCTATGTTGATGTCGATTCTCCTCCACTTTAGTGTCATTCTCTGCAAAAGATTAGTATACCTACTACTAGTGGAATATTATTATTCTAACATATTTATGCATTGCAAGCATCACTAGTTCTCCTCTATTTTGGTAATATTGATGGTCGAATCGATAACAACGACCGTCAACACGGAGTTGCCGCCTCGTCCGAATGGCGGACAGGCGGAGTCGCGGAGAGCCGGACTGCCGCCGGCCGCCCGGCCAGAGAGCGGAGAGAGCCGGCCACCATCGCTGGCTCCCCGCGAGGTGTTGAGGCGATGCGAGGAACGACGTCCCGCGTTCGTGACGGCGCGGCGTGCACCCATGGGCGCCGGGTGTTGGCGGCGGCGCGGCCCTGCCACCGCTTCCTCAGTAGGATGAGCAATGGTGTGGTAGAGGTCATCGAGGAGCAAGGTCGAGGTGGCGTGGTAGAGATGGAGGCGAGCACGGTGGAGCGTCGATGGCGGAGATGCGAAGGAACTCGCAGGAGCGGATGGGGAATCAAGGGCAAGCCGCGGCGGCGGCGTACATGCGAACGACCAGAGGAATATCTGGAAGCTGGTAGCGGCTGCAAAGAAGGAAAAAACGAACGGCCGGATCTAGTCAAGCAAACAATCGAACAGTTCCTGGCATAATGCAACAGTGAACCAGTAAAACAGTAGCGTACAATGTCGGACGGCTGTGGTTGCAACGGCAAAAACTATAGATTTTATATGATTTTTAGGGATAATCAGGGGCGGAGGGCTCGGTAGGCCGAGGTGTGGCGTTTGCCATACCTTGCTCTCCCGCCGGACCCCCCGCCCCTCCCCCCCGCGGCGAATCCCAGCCTCCCAGGCGGCATGACGGCGACAACTCCGGCATGGCGATGGCGGCATCGCTGCCTGCAAATGCAAGACGGAAGCCGCGTGCCTGCGTGCGTGCGAACAGGCCACTGGCCACCTAATTAGGCCCATTGGGCCTTTTTTTTTTTGTGTTAAATGGGGCTTTTGATTTGTTGACCATGAAACCCTAACTCCAAAATTTCCCAATCCCCCCAAATCCTCAATCTGACTGAGGGCAAGCGACGGCCGACGGGGGCTAGCGGCGGCGCTGCGGTGGTCGGTGGGGGCACTGCTCGAGGAGGGGCGTGGAAGCCGGCAGGGTGAGGCCGCGCGGGGAGGCAGGCGGCGCCGCGGCGGCCAGGCAGCGGCGCGGCGATGTGCCGGCGTGGGGAGGCAGGCGGCGGCCAGCCGGCCAGGCAGGCAGCTGCGTGGCGGCCGCGGGAGGCAGGCGGCTAGCTAGCAATCAGGTAGAGCTGCCCGCAGGCAGGGGCAGCAGGGAGCAGGCAGAGTCAATCTCAATTACTCTTTATCTTATTAATCTCAATTCTCAATTATATAGTATACTAATCAATCTTTTCCATTTGTTTTGCAGTTTCTACATCACTACATGTCTATCTATCCACACTAGTTCTTTCATGTGATGTATTGTTGACAGCTAAAATCTTGAGGTATTTCTGAGTGCCTCTTCTATTTAAACTTTTGGTAAATGGATGATGAATTGTGAGCTTATGACTAGTGCTTGTTGGCATGTTTTAGATTGCATCATGATAGGATATTGTTCATATAATATCGTGCATTGAGATTGTTTTTTTTCCCTTTCTTCTTGCTATGGCCTAATTCTCGCGATAGCCCATGGGCCACACCACCACACCTAATTTTTTTTCCGTCCTCCGCAAAGCCATCGGGGATAATTGTGTTTATACCCCAACTTTTAACTGCAACTGTGATTTTGCCCTTATTTTTTAGGGTTTGCGAATTTACCCCTGCTTTCTTGAAACGAAGTTACAGTTTGCCCCTACTATGGATGGCATTAGGTGGGTCCCACAATATATTGAATTAAAGAAACATAAATGAGAAGGGAAAAATAATCTACAAGACATTCACTGGTGGAGAAACCATCTTTGGTCGGTCGACCAGATTTCACAATAGTCCCAGTTGTATAAAAAATTGGGACTAAAAACATCTTTAGTCCCGGTTTAAAAGCTCCAGGGTACTTTTTAATCTTTAGTACCGGTTGGTGTTACCAACCGGGACTAACGATCTATTTGTAGTCCCGGTTGATAACACCAACCGGGAAAAAAGATCGTCATACGCTTTACTCCCGGACTAAAGATCTATTTATAGTCCCAACCGGGAAAAAATATCGACGCTGAGATCGGTGAGGCGTGCGCGATCGGATCGAGGTATCTCCTCCTCTCCTTTAACTCGTCTCTCCTCCTCTCCTCAACCTTATCTCCTCTCCTTTTAACTTCTCTCCTCAACCTTATCTATTCCTCTCCTCTCCTCTCTAACAGGCCGGCGCGGCGGCGGCGGCCGGTGCGAGGGCGGCGAGGCGTGAAGGCCAGGCCGGCGCGAGGGCGGCCAGGCGCGGAGAGGCGGCGGCCGGCGCGAGGGCGGCGGGGCGCGGAGGGCCGGCCGGCTGGTGCGGCGAGCCGGTGGTTTTTTTCTTTTTTTTTTTTTTGGAGAATTTGAGATTGTTGTGTGATGTATTTGATTGGATCTGAGATTGTTGTGTGATGTATTTGATTTGTGTGTGATGTGAATATGTAATTTTGTAGAAGTTGTGATGTAATTTTTTTTTTAAGATTTTGTGATGTATTTGAGTATTTGAGATGATCGATTGTGGATTTGGAGGTAATTTGAGGATGATTGATTTGGGATTTTGGGGACGCCGGGACGGAATGGGGTGAAATCAATATATATTAAAAACAATGAAGAAAAGAAAAGAATAAAGAGCAACCGGATCTAGCATCTTTCGTCCCGGTTGGTAACACTAACTGGGGAATAAAAATGCTTTATCTGGGAATAAAAATGCTTTATCTTTATCTTTAGTCCTGGTTGGTGATGGATTCCCCAACCGGGACTACAGGGGGTTACGAACCGGAGTAAAAACCCCTTCTCCATAAGTGATTGGATTACCATTCTACCCCTGACTATTATGTACACCTATTCGCTCTCATCTTACCCACCGTTCCCATCCCCAAACCCAAGGGGGGTTAGAGCAGCCGGCGGCGGCGGTGGCTCCGACGAGCCGGCGTGGCGACGAGTGCTACGCGGTGGCAACAGGCAACAGCTACTCAGCGCGGGACACGACCACCAAGCGGCGGCGGCGACTCCTAGCTCGCGCCACGCGGCTATGCGAGCAAGCGGCGGCGGTGGCGACAACTCCTCAGGCGGCGCGGCTACGCGAGTAGCAAGCAGCATCGGCGGCTCGTCGGCACGACGACGCGAGGCGGAGACGGCGGCTTCTCAACATGAGCACCAGGCAGCAGAAGCTCCTCGCCATGGGTACGCGAGCACCAGGACGCGCGGCGGCGCTGGCTCGATGCGAGCATGAAGGTGGGAGAGTCATCGTGTCCTGCACATCGATGGCCTCCCGGACACCGCGATGGCATCGGGAATGAAAGGAGTCGGCGGAGGAGTTCGATGGTGAGGAACTGAGGATGTCGTCGGGCAGGCCGTGGTCACCGCGTGGCCAGCTCCGAACGGTGATACTCCTGGATTGTGCTCGATGAGTCCGTGGTGACGCATGTAGTTCATGCTTGCGCAATCCTGCATGAATTAAACAAGCTAGGCCTGCATGGTTGAGGTGGTCAAAATTTTGCCAAAATATTTGTTCTAGTTCGGCTCAGATTTAAGTTATTTCACAAAATCTCAGTTCAAAATAATTGTAAGTTTCATATACAAAATAGGGGTAAAAGTACTGGTAAGCAAGGATATATATGCATTTTCACGTCCAACTTAACACCATTAAACTGTCCATCCAAAACCGGGGGTAAAACTCTCCTTCATTTGAAAAAAGAGGGGCAAAAACACAAACACTAAAAAAACAAGGGTAAAATCACAATTAAATTTAAAAGTAGGGGTAAGAATGCAATAGCCCCTAATTTTTACAGTCGAAGACGCAATTTCCAAGGATGAAAGTGTAAATTGGCTGGATGATCAATGTACCAATTTAGTGAGTAAATTGGCTGCACTTTTCATCATTGTTGTATGCCGCCCGTTACAAATGCAATGGTATTTTTCTTGTATATATATAAATACCCCAAACACTGAGGTGGTGTTTATATCATGGACTAAATTTTAGTCTCTGTCACATTGGATGTTTGGAACTAATTAGAAGTATTAAACGTAGACTAATAAAAAATTAATTGCATAAATAAGAGCTAATTCGCGAAACAAATTTTTTAAGCCTAATTAATCTATAATTAGGTTATATTTACTGTAGCATCATATATGCTAATCATGGATTAATTAGACTCAATAGATTTATATGGGGATGACTAGGGATCGGTCGCCCGATCAAAATCTTCAAAAATCGGGCGCTCGATTTATGTGCGAAACTACTTTAAACTGGTTTTTCTCTCAGATTACTTATCCAAATCATGATTCGATTACACCATTAAATTCGTTGCAATTAAATCTTCAAAACAAGACCACACATGGATATATTCCGATGAAAAAAAATTAGCTTATTATTGAATTATTTTTAAATGTTGCACGATGTTCCACTAGGTATATTGGAATTGTTTCACTGAGTAGATTGAAAATGTTTCACTCGTTTAAATCGGGTGTTGTTTCACCTTATATAAAAACAATGTTTTAGCAAATAGCGAAAGAATATTTCAGTTCACTGCAACATTTGATCTATACATAGTGAAACATTATAAGTACACTAGGTGAAATATTTTTCAGTGGAACAAAAAATAAAACGAATTCCCTTAATAGGGGGTTTCAAAATATGTGGTTATTTTTGTTGTAATGGAGTATTTCAGTTCACTGCAAATTAGATCTATATATAGTGAAACATTGTGAGAACACTAGGTGAAACATTTTTGGTGGAACAAAAAAATAAACCGAATTCTCTTAATAGAGGGGTTCCAAAATATGTGAGTAATTTGTTGCAATGACATATAGTAGCAGAGATGTGGTGGGGCCCAGATCTGCACGTGCGGGGAGGGGCGCGCGGGGGGAGCGCCCGATCCGGCTCCCCCGCACTGGGCGACGGATAATAAGCATTATCCGATTTATATCACGAATTAATCCACGGTTATGGAATGAGTTTTGTCATTAGTTTACGTTTAATACTTTTAACCAGTATCTAAACATTTGATTTGATGTGAGATGACTAATATTTAGTCGGGCATTACGGCAAGGTATCTCTCTCCCGCTGACAACCCGGTCACACCGAACCAACGGTCCAGATCTTCCCTTCTCCAGATCCAACGGCGGACACGCGCTCCCACCTCCTCATGAGGGCAGGGACCACCGACCGCGTCCGAAACCCAGACCTCCCCACCTTCGTCCGTCTCCGTCCTGGGCACCCAACGCCCAAGGGCCAAGGCCATACCATCGTCCTCTCCCCCAACCTCCTTCCCGCGCCAGATCAGATCCACCGCCCTCTCTCTCTCTCTCTCTCTCTCTCTCTCTCTCTCTCTCCTCCGCTCGCCTCAGCGGCTAGGGGTTTCGCCTGCCGCTGCCGCCGCCGCCGCCGCTGGGGGACGGCTAGCGAAGATGCTGACCAAGTTCGAGACGAAGAGCAACCGGGTGAAGGGGCTGAGCTTCCACCCGCGGCGGCCATGGATCCTGGCCAGCCTCCACAGCGGGGTGATCCAGATGTGGGACTACCGCATGGGCACCCTCCTCGACCGCTTCGACGAGCACGACGGCCCCGTCCGCGGCGTCCACTTCCACGCCACCCAGCCGCTCTTCGTCTCCGGAGGTCAGTCAATCATTCATTCCTCCTAGATCTCGCCCATTTGCTGTGCTCTTTTATTTGCCTTTCGCGCGTTTGGTTGGATCCACGTCGGTATTGAGGGCGTTAGATTTCTGCATGCTGCAATGGCAACACCCGAGGTCTACGATTAGGTCTGCTTTGGTTGTGCAAGTGCCATTTTGTTGGTCGGATCTGGTGTTGCTTCTTCTATCATGCTAGCTTAAGACCAACTGTTTGGTGAATTGTTGTTAGTTTTAAGACCTTCAGGTGACATTTTGTTTCTATTTATGACCGAGATCTCCATTGATTTCCGCAATCCTTTCAAACAAGAGGTAAGATATGAGTCGACGTGTAGGCCTTAACTAGAGAGAAGCAGCTTTTATAGTTGTGAATCTGATACCATAGCAAGTTAGCAATGGCGAGGTGCCATCATGGAACTTTGGAATTTGTTGAAACCTCAATTTCGGGATCTGTTGAAACTTGAAACTAAGGCCCTGTTTCTTTCAGCTTGGGATTATTATAATCTAGATTATTGAGTCAGATTACTATAAGCTAGATTGTTGTAATCTGTAGTAGAATAAACGGTTAGTTGTTTCTTTCCTAGATTATTAGAGCCTAGATTATTGGGTTTGCAAGTCTAAAGAGGAGTGGGGTGGCATGGTGGGTAATTTTTCACCCAATAATCTGGAAAAAGCTCACCTAAATGAGCTTATCAGATTATAATAAGCTGGGCTCCAGATTATAATAAGCTACTTCAATAAGTTGTCTGTTTCTTTCAACTTACTCCCAATAATCTGGATTATAATAATCCCAAGCTGAAAGAAACAGGGCCTAAGTCACACTGGTGTTCCGCCTGGTTGTATTTCTGGGATAGCTGTGGGCTAATACGATTGGGATATGGAATTGTTGAATCGTAGATTCTAAGATTTCTGTGATGCATTGCAGGTGATGATTACAAGATTAAGGTGTGGAATTACAAGACACACCGCTGCCTCTTCACACTTCATGGGCACCTTGACTACATTCGCACCGTGCAATTCCACCACGAGTACCCATGGATAGTAAGTGCTAGTGATGACCAGACAATCCGGATATGGAACTGGCAGTCACGCACATGTGTGGCTGTGCTGACTGGACATAACCACTATGTCATGTGCGCATCATTCCATCCCAAGGAGGATCTGGTTGTGTCCGCATCACTGGATCAGACTGTCCGTGTATGGGATATTGGTGCTTTGAGGAAGAAGACGGTGTCACCTGCGGATGACATCCTGCGCCTCACCCAGATGAACACTGATCTGTTTGGAGGTGTTGATGCAGTTGTAAAATATGTGTTGGAAGGGCATGACCGTGGGGTGAACTGGGCGTCATTTCACCCCACATTGCCGCTCATTGTTTCTGGGGCAGATGACCGGCAAGTGAAGCTATGGAGAATGAATGGTAATACTGCTACTACGCCCTGAACTTTTTGATTATCATTTTCCATCGATAAACACTTACATATTTATGTTTTTATCCATTCATCCTTCCATATAACAGTACTACAAAACAATGGATTTGGTTAAATGATAAATTCATTTGTTTTGTTCAATTTATCATACAGAAGAAGTAACTAACTTGTCACCAAACAAGCTGAATGCAAGAAACATGTTTCACAATTACTCAATTAGTAACTAGCTCCCGACCTAGAGTATATCACTTTAGCTGGGACTAAAGGTGGTCACTCTTGTTGCGTAGCACTTTATTCTACTGCACATTGGTAGACTGGCCAAACGCTATTATATGCATACCACTATTGAGGTATTTGAAATGATGCAATCTAAGTGTGCTATTTTTGGACAGACACCAAGGCTTGGGAAGTTGATACTTTGCGGGGGCACATGAATAATGTGTCCTGCGTGATGTTCCATGCAAAGCAAGACATCATTGTGTCCAACTCAGAGGACAAAAGCATTCGTGTCTGGGATGCCACCAAGCGAACTGGTATTCAAACATTCAGGCGGGAACATGATCGTTTCTGGATTCTTGCTGCCCACCCTGAGATGAATCTTCTTGCCGCTGGTCATGACAATGGTATGATTGTGTTTAAATTAGAGAGGGAACGTCCAGCTTTCTCTGTGAGTGGTGATACTGTCTTCTATGTGAAGGACCGTTTTCTTCGGTTCTTTGAATACTCCACACAGAAGGAGGTTCAGTTGGCTCCAATAAGAAGACCTGGATCGGTCAGCTTGAATCAGTCACCCAGGACACTGTCGTATAGTCCAACTGAAAATGCCGTCCTGATTTGCTCTGATGTGGATGGAGGCTCCTATGAACTCTATATAGTTCCGAAGGATTCTGCTGGCAGGACTGATTATTTGCAGGAGGCAAAGAAGGGAGCTGGTGGGTCAGCTGTTTTTGTTGCACGCAACAGGTTTGCAGTGCTCGAGAAGAGTAGCAATCAAGTTCTGGTGAAGAATCTTAAGAATGAAATTGTAAAGAAAAGCCCTCTTCCTATTGCGATGGATGCAATTTATTATGCTGGGACTGGTAACTTGCTGTGCAAAGCTGAAGACCGAGTGACCATCTTTGATCTGCAGCAAAGGTTAATTCTTGGCGAGCTCCAGGCACCTGCTGTTAAATATGTTGTTTGGTCGAGTGATATGGAATCTATTGCATTGCTGAGCAAGCATGCGGTGGTTATAGCAAACAAGAAGCTTGTCCATCGTTGTACGCTCCATGAAACCATCCGTGTGAAAAGTGGTGCCTGGGATGAGAATGGTGTGTTTATTTACACTACTTTGAACCATATCAAGTATTGTCTTCCCAATGGAGATAGTGGGATCATTAAAACCCTTGACGTTCCTATTTACATAACAAGGGCTATTGGGAATAATATTTTCTGCCTAGATCGTGATGGAAAGAACAAGCTGATCACAGTTGATGCTTCTGAATACATTTTCAAGCTGGCCCTTCTACGGAAACGATACGATCATGTGATGAGTATGATTAAGAATTCCCAGCTGTGTGGGCAGGCTGTGATTTCTTATTTGCAACAGAAAGGCTTTCCAGAAGTTGCCCTCCACTTTGTGAAAGATGAGAAGACAAGATTTAACCTAGCTCTTGAGAGTGGTAACATCCAAATTGCAGTTGCTTCTGCCAAAGAGATTGATGACAAAGATCACTGGTACCGGTTGGGAATCGAGGCCCTGAGGCAGGGAAACGTTGGTATTGTGGAATATGCGTACCAACGTACAAAGAATTTTGAGAGGCTTGCTTTCCTATATCTTATTACTGGTTACATGGACAAGGTGGGGTTCATGTGCAAAATTGCTGGACAGAACAATAACCTGATGGGTCAATTCCACAATGCTCTGTATCTTGGTGATGCTATGAAGAGAGTTGAGATCCTAGAGAATGCTGGACAGCTACCTCTTGCTTATATTACTGCTGCCACCCATGGACTCACAGAAATTGCTGATAGGCTTGCTGCTGAATTGGGTGAAAATATTCCTTCTCTACCTGAAGGAAAAACTCGCTCTCTTTTGATCCCCCCTGCACCTCTCACAGCCAGTGGTGATTGGCCATTGCTTAGGGTGATGCGTGGTATCTTTGAGGGTGGACTGGATGCTACTGGGAAGGCTGAACTTGAGGAAGACGATGAAGCTGCTGGTGCTGACTGGGGTGATGAGGACCTGGATATGGTTGATGCAAGCGAAGCGATGGCGAATGGTGGTGATGGTTTTGATGCTGAGGAGGGTGAAGCAAATGAGGAGGATGGTGAGGAAGGTGGCTGGGACCTAGAAGACCTGGAACTTCCGCCTGAAGCAGAGACCCCTAAAAACGCCGGTAATGCACTCTCAGTGGTCTTTGTTGCTCCTCCTCCAGGCATGCCTGTCAGCCAGATTTGGACTCAGAAATCTTCTCTTGCTGGGGAGCACGCAGCAGCAGGAAACTTTGACACTGCAATGAGATTGCTTAGCCGTCAATTGGGCATCAAAAACTTTGCTCCTCTCAAGCCCCTATTTCTCGATCTGCACATGGGCAGCCACTCATATCTTCGTGCACTTGCAACTGCCCCCATTATTCCGGTTGCTGTTGAGAAAGGTTGGAGTGAGTCTGCAAGTCCTAATGTGAGAGGCCCTCCTGCACTTGTTTTCACCTTCTCACAAATGGAAGACAGACTCAAGGCTGCCTACAAGGCCACCACAGAAGGTAAGTTCCCAGAAGCCCTGAGGCAGTTCCTTAACATCTTGCATACCATCCCTCTTATCGTGGTAGACTCGAGGAGGGAAGTGGATGAAGTGAAAGAGTTGATCGAGATTGTGAGGGAGTATGTCCTTGGCCTGAGGATGGAACTTAAGAGGAAGGAATTGAGAGATGATGTCAACCGCCAACAAGAATTGGCAGCTTACTTCACTAACTGCAAGCTTCAGAGAGTTCATATGAGGCTTGTGCTTGGAAGTGCTATGGGTTTGTGCTACAAGCAAAAGAACTTTGCTACTGCAGAGCACTTTGCAAGGATGCTGCTGGAGAACAACCCTAATGAGAGCCAAGCAAAGAGGGCCCGACAGGTGCAGCAACAGTGCAGTGGAAAGAAGGATAGCTGTGAGCTGAACTATGACTACAGAAATCCATTTGTCGTCTGTGGTGCCACATATGTTCCAATTTACCGTGGCCAGAAGGATGTTTCCTGCCCGTACTGTGGATCCCGGTTTGTTCCTTCCATCGAAGGGCAGCTTTGTACCATATGTGAGCTTGCTGTGGTTGGTGCAGATGCTTCAGGCCTCCTCTGCTCCCCTACGCAGTTGAGATAAGTGGCGCTAGGTAAAACTCCCTTATATTCTTTCTTGTCTCTCAACACTTTGCTATGATATATTTTACCATGATCTGTACTGATTGTAAGGAAATAAGTATTATACATGGTTGAGTTTTTATTTCACTTTCTCCCCATTTCCCTTCTTGATTTTTGTTTACTGTTGTTACACTTGATATATGCTACTTGATATATGCTCAAGGACTTTTTGATCAGCTCATGAAAATCCTACGCTCAGACTTTATGTACCAATGTTTGATTCACTAGGGTAAATTTTCGGTGTCGTGGTGTTTACTTTCACTAGTAACTATGCTAGGTCCGTGAATGTAACAGTTGCCAATGACCAACTTAACCAATTATGCTTAATTTTGTATTTCAATCCAGACGTGTGTGGATTGTGCTAGGGTAATACAAGCATAGTTTATTATTTAGAGGATTTTGCTGTTATTGAAGACAAGAGATGCATCAGTTACCCTCTTCTTGGTATCCTTAGAGCATCTCCAAGAGAGACCCAAAACCTGTTCTCTAAACTAAATTTTATGTATTAAATCTAAAATTGTATCACCAGCATATCTACAACGGGGCACTTTTGGTGCATATATAATCTCATGAGCTGTTTTTTGGTGCATACCTATGTCATTTTTACACTACATTTTATCATGTCTGGTAATAATTTTTGATAAAAAAGTATTCGATTGCAGATGCCTTATTTCCAGCTCAGGAAAAACAATTGGACCTTTAATGCTTACATGGATGGAAAAATGGGATGTTAGATTTGATTTGTGATCAGAGAAGGCCATTACATTTGTGCAAAATTTTGAAATTTAATAGTTCATACAAAAAAGTGTGCAAATCCAAGACCAGGCTCAGGATACCAAGGAACCTCATCTTGCCTATGTAAATTAACTACTTTGAGCAGCTGTGGCTAGAAGAATGGATATATATCGGCCATGCCTCATGTCAGAGCATTTCAGAATAAATATTCGTGTTTAGAATAGACTTTTTGATGGTGAAATATTTCACCGAGGAATTGTGAGTTCTTACTTCAAAGCACATTGCAAATTGAGGTCGTGTTCCTGGATGGTTCGTCATTTGTCGCTGTTATCTTAACAAGCGGATTTCACAGCATAATTTTTTGCTGAGCTACATAAAAGTGAAATTGGATTTGATATGTAGCTCTTATCTTTTGTCTCCAAATACAATTAAGATTTTTATCTGGAACTAAAAATAGATTTGGATTTCATAAAGAACTCTTACTATCTGTTTCAGTTATGACCAGTAAAGAGTATATATGAAAATTAGAATTAGATTTAAATGTAAAATTGTATTATATATATAGTTATATGTAAATACAAATATATCGATCAATCTACACTATAATTTAGATCTGCTACTGTCGGTGATATGGGCCCGGGGGTACGCACAGTAAAGGAAAGTACCCTTCCCGTCTAGTCACGTGGCCACGCAGCCTCGCCTTCCCTCGCCCCTTGGATAGCGCTGAAGTGGCCAGAGGGCCTCGGGGTGCCACGTCACACCCCTCGGGCTCTTGGGGCGTGCTCCCCCGAGGCCCTCGCCCGACCACCACGTGGCGGGGAGAGTGGTGGCGGGGAGAGTGGGTGGGGCGGAAGGCGCCGCTCAACGCCTTAAATGCGCGGCGCCCTGTCCCTCACCGCATTTAATACGGTGTGGGTGGACGTGCGGCGCCGCTCGATTGACCCACGTCAATCGGGTGGTCACAGGTGATTGGACGGGCGGCAGTGTCCCCCATGTCCCGCCCTGTGTTAGGCGGTCGATGCACTGCCAGGGACGCCCTCCGCCCGTGGTGAGCCACCAAAGTCTCCATACATTTAAAGGGAAATGAATGACAGGGGTGTCCCCCGTGTCAGGCGGGGGACGGCACTGGCCCCACCCGAGGACGAGCGACCACTTTGCTTCCGGTTGAAGGCACGAATGGTGGTCTAATCGAGGCAGGGTGGGTCCCCCTCCCATGGAGGGGTAGGTATAGACGGTGCATGTGGTATCCCATTGAACTATAAAAGGAGGATATCGCCCACCAAGAAAAAGGGACGACTCTCGATAGCTTGAGCTCTAGAGGAAGAACAGCTAGGTTTCCCTAGGAGCTCAAGACTTCTTGTAAGAACTCATCATAATCCCACACACAGGAGTAGGGTGTTACGCTTCCTAGTCCAAACCTATATAATCCATTGTCTTCCACACAAACTGGTGAGCGATCCAGTAGTTAGATCTTAAGCGGAAGTACGCTCTTGATCATCGCGCCATCTCCTCCGGCCAAACTCACGGGGGGGTCTTAATACAAGAATTTATAGTGTTTCAAGCAAACGTGGTGGTTAATTTCTGAGTTATCTTTATAGTATGATTATAATAGATAATATATTTTTCTTACAAGCTTGCACAATAGAGGAGCACAGCTATCGACAAAGATTGGCGCGGGTCGACTCGTGGGTAACAGGTGATCTATTTTAGTTTAACTAAACTAAATAGCATTGGAAGGATTCAAAACTAAAACTTAGGAGGAAACATATTCTGAATTTAGACAAAATTGAAAATGCACAGGGAGTAGAAACTCTGTCTCAGACAATGTTGTGCTTAGGGCGGAACTTTGAAACTACATCAGAAACCAGCACAAGGTCAAACCCTTGACGCAATTGTGAGGTGCATCCCACATGGGACATCATCCGAGATGTGTTCTTTGCAATTACGCTGTTACCAGAAATGTTAATGGATTTTTCCTACTGTTTTTGGCATGAACTGTAGCCGTTGCAAGATTTTTTTACTTGAGGCTGCGTGATGTGAAATTTCTTATTGCTGATGCTGTTTGTGTACATACACATTCGGACGAAATATCCACACTATAAAAACTAGTCGTGAATAGGGTGTTCTCCCTTTTAATATTTTCTATAAACTATTCTTCAATATTTTATGATAGTATGTAATAGTCTAATATTTAATTGATTCAAATAAATGAGAAATACTATGTATTTAAATAAAGAAACAAGCCATACTAGCATATTGATATCTATAACATATTATTATACACTAGCAGAGTGCTTATACTTTGGAAATTAATAAAACTGGAGAGTGGAGACACAGCCCAGTGGTGGCGGGTGGCAACGAGGCCCATCCATGGATACTTCCAGACGGAAACTCGGGGGATTACGTGGGCCGGTGGGCGTCGTGTCACGTTCTGGAAATCGATCTCAACGCAACGTAAACAAATCACGGAACGCAGCACGCGGCAGAGGCAGGTGGCGGTGGCACGCAGCCCTCCCAGGAGCCCAACACCTGCCGTTCTACGTGTACCCCTCTCCTTCTTCACGCCCTCCCATGCAAACCAACCTTAATTTGCTGCTTTAGTACTTACTCTACGTCCCGCTCTCGCGCACGCACGCACGCTACACCCCAAAACCAAGGAGAAAACCACACATCGAGAGTGCAATTCGTACGTACGCGATGGCGAAGAGCGGCACGGAGGAGTGGCGGCGCAACACCGACACGCACAAGATGAGCGCGGAGGAGGTCCGGGCGGCCGGGGTGGAGGCCTCCATGCGCCCGCCCGGACGCGGCCACGGCCCAGGGGAGGTGCTACACCAGCGCGGCCGGATGCCGTACGGGCCCGGGACCATGGCGCTCGCCGGCCTCGGCATCTTCGGCGTCCTCGGCTACCTGGTGCTCTACCACAAGGCGAGGCCCGGCACGCCCGCCACCGAGGTTGCCAAGGTCGCCGTCGGGCACGGCGACCCCGTCGCCGGCCGTGACGCCCACAAGACCCCCGACGACGCGGCTGCTGCTGCGGCTGCGGCACGCCAAGGGAAGTAGCTAGCTAGCTAGCTGCTAGTTACTGTACTCATCCACTGACAGAAGATCGACGTACGTGGTGCTTTTGTTTTCTACTAGCCCATCACCCGATCCATGATCTTCTTCTTGTGTGCTGCTTCGTTTCACACATCTTTGGTTTGGTGCCGTTTTGTTTCGTGGATCAACCATGTATGCACGCATGTTTTGATGATTTTGTATGGTTAAACAAGCGGTAGAAAATAAAAATAAAGACGTTGTGTTAATTTACATTCCAGTGTATATGATGCAAATGTTACGGTTAATTAGTTGTGAAAATAAATCCTTTCATGCTTATCAGTATTTACGGTTAAGGAGTGGTAATTAGTTGCTGTGTGGCAGTGTGGCACAGAGAGAGGATCTTAGAAGAAAAGGGACGTGCGCGCTCGGCCATCGGCCTGGGCCCTGAGGTCCGCACGACAGCCAAACCTTAGGGAGATTTCGGCCTGTACTCTGCTACGAAGAAACTCCAACATAACTCCCTCAACCTACGTGCGACACCTTCAATGCTGCCAGAGAGTTGTTTTGGTGTTCAGGATACTAGATTCGAACAAGTTTGAGGGAATTAAATTGGACTATTTTCACCTGCTACTGCTAGATACTAGCGACGAAGCTCTGGAAGTTAGGGACTATTTTGACGCAAAACAGGGGAAAATAAGAAATTAAATGGGCTCTCCACACACCTTTGAATTTCGCCGAGGCTCTGCCACGTGATGGGCTGTTAGAAACCCACTTCTTCCGATTCAATAGCAAGGATACACCATACAAGTAACAATCTTTTTGGGGAAAAAGAGAGAAAGAAACTATGGAATACAAGTTAAGTTCTGGAAACTTTGAGAGGAAGCTGGAGGTAGGAGGAGAGGTAGAGAAGAGAGATCGCTGAGAGGAGAGGTAGAGAAGAGATATCGTTGAGGTTCCAACCCGGAACCAGGACACCGCTGCCGTTGCCGTTCTGATCGATCTGTTTGATACCTGGATATGTCTTGCTGCTACTGCATTTTGTATTGCGTTCCTTGACTAGATTGGGCTGTGGCTTGGTTGAGCAACTGAGCCGGCCCATGTGTAGCCTGTTGAGTTCCTAACCATTCCCTCTCCTTCAAATTCGACTTGTCTCCAAGTTGATGTCAAGTGAACTTTTGAAATTTGAAACTTCCACCTTTGATTTCTCTTGTATTTTTTACTGCTCAAAAGCTTCACGGATGTCCCCTCCATTTTTGAGCTTGCTGCTAATCTTGTTTGCCCCTTGCAATAATTTCTTCAGCTTAATATCAACTTTCAAAGTCCAACAAAGATACCAACTGAAATTACTTGCATGTTCACCACCTCCCAGCATCCAGTGCAGCCATTTTCTTGTCACATCAATCCACTTCCTTGTGGACCAACTTTCATAACAAGCATCTATAATTTTTAGCATATGTTTCTTTCTAAGCTCCTGCATGTTCCATATCATTCTGCATGTTCCATATCATTGCTGTCATAGTAATAGAAGACATACTCCCTTCACTTAATATCTTCTCATGCCACCCAACCTTGGCAATTCTAACACTAAGCAGGCTGCTCAAAGTCTCAGAATTTGCAAAGCCAATTCCATGACCAAAATGATTACATGGTAGCTGGCCCCTACAACTCAACATAATTATAAAAACAACATAATTATAAAAAGGATGTCCTTGACTTCTCCAAGAGACAAAATTAGTTGCACCAGCTTGTCAGATAGAAATTCTAACTGCACCCCATAAAAATGCTTGTTACCAGTGAGTACACCCCTTTCTGCCTCAAAGAAGGAGCAATTACCACCCAAATCATACAAACTAACTTCCACTAACACCAGAATCGTGTCTTCGATGTACTGTTTAGGATGCCCAACAATTAACAGCTTTATTTCTGCCTCAGAGGACCATATCTTCCATAACAGGAATTGAGGCCAAATCTTGCACACTAAGAGTTGAAAGGGACCATGATTTCCAAAGTGACCAATAGAAGGAGTTGCACAACTCAGGTCCAGTACATATAACTTAGCAACAAATAATTTCATTTCTTCCTTTGCTTCAACCATATTTGCTATCCCTAATTTGGCAAATGCATGCACATCAATCAAGAGCACAATGCTATTCTCATGGGGTGGAGGCCATGGCAGCATCAAATGCACTGCCCAATGCCTTACTGTGAGCATTATTTCTGTGGGCAATATTGCAATATCAAGAAGTAATGATGCAAAGTACCTTATTTGAGTACATTCTGCAATTCCTTCAATGTCATAAGAAATTATGCCATTCTTGCTAACATCTTGCATAAAATTAACCAAGAGTAAGGAACCTTCAGGATACACAAAACTGAACACATGCACACCAATCCATTTTTGCTGCCATTGAAAGGAAAAAAATTGGGGCCAGCAATCCCAAAATAAATCAAGTGAACCATTCTCATCACCTGCAATCCAAGGCCCATGTATATAGGGCTGTCAACGAGCCGAGCTCGAGCGAGCTCGTTTGCCTAAGCTCGAGCTCGACACAAGCTCGAGCCGAGCCTATTGCACCTTCGAGCTTTTAGGCAAGCTCGAGTCGAGCTCGAGCTCGGTGTCGAGCTCGGCCATAAGTAGTATAATATATATTTTAATAATAATATCTTGATAAGTATAATTATTTTCTAGCTAATCACACTAATAAAAGAGTATAAAATGATTAAAATAAATATATTGTGCTAACACATGCTAATTTATTTTGTAAATAGATAGTGATATATATATATTTATCTATTAGTTTATTATATTAATAAGGTGAACATGCAATATAAATTATACACAGTCAAGCTCGGCCAGGCTCAGTAGAAGCTCGAGCTCGGCTCGGTAAAGCTCGCGAGCTTTTGCTCAGGCTCGAGTTCGGCTCGTATGGAGCTCGAGCCGAGCTCGAATAGAGCCTAGGATGAGCCAAGCTCGAGCTGCTCACGAGCCTCGAGCTTTTTTGACAGCCCTACATGTATATCTAGTTTTTGCTTAGCCAGGCACCTTTGCATGATAGGAATTGCACTGTCAATATATCCTCCAAGATTCACAAATTTCCACTTCTTCCAGTCAAATAGAATCACTGTAGCACCTCTCCTTCTTGAAACCAGACAAGCTCCATTAACATACTTGCTATTTCAAGTTGTAAGCTCTTTGTGCTGATTCTCGTGCACAGTAAGATCCCAAGCAAAGAATAATTCCATAGTTCCTTGATAGCAAGCAGATGATAAGATTCTCCTATTGCATCAAAGAAATCCTGATGACCTTTGATCAAATAAAAATTGAATGAAGGCCATGGCATTGGCTGAAGATCAATATTGCTGACAATAACATCCATTTGCTTGGGGTGTGGCCATGGAGACATCAATTGCACCTTGGTGCCAGTCCTATTTGTTGGCCAAGGTGCTGATTGTAACTCACATCTACTAGCTCTCGATTCTATTATGGGAGGATGTGGCCCTGGACAATTCTTGACATCTTCCATTGATGTCTTCAATGCCATGACTGGTGTGGACTTCCCCGGTGCTGAAACAATGTCTAGTGTGCCAAGCAAGAGTGGGAACACACCCTGGACAATGCCATTGTTGCTATTGAGTACGACCGTTGAACACTTGGCGTGCGTCTCCTTAGGATGGTTAGAGATGCCAATGTAGGGATCAAAGATTGCGTCCTCACTAACCACCAACTCCATGGATGACACAGAAGCAGTGGCGCATGCAACCACCGTAGCCACGGTGAGGCATGGTGTCGTGGTTGGAGCAAATCGTCGAACACTTGGTGGGCATCGGAGAACGTGTTACCTGGGGTGATGAAGATATTGCAGCCTCTGTGTTGGGGTTGAGCTCCTTAGTAGAGGCATTGAATTCCTCAACCCCATTGCTTCCCCGTCTACCTTTACACCGAACATCTCCAATAATCGATCTAGCTTCTCATCTATTCGACGCTTGGCATCCCTCAACCCTTGTATTAGATGCAGTGCCTCTTCCTTAGTTACCTTCTCATTCATGACAAGAAGAATTTCTTCCTTGGACACCTCATACTGACTAGACATTCCATTGAACAGGTTGCAGGCGCTAATGCCATGAGCACCTCCCTTGCCTGAATCTTCCCCCACCTTGCCTTGCTGTCATCCCAACACCTCCATGACAAGAGATCCCATGAACCGAGCAGCTCTGATACCAGATTGTTAGAAACCCACTTCTTCCAATTCAATAGCAAGGATACACCATACAAGTAACAATTGTTTTGGGGGAAAAGAAAGGAAGAAACTATGGAATACAAGTTCTGAAAGCTTATAGACCTTGGAGAGGAAGCTGGAGGTAGGAGGAGATGTAGAGAAGAGAGATCGCCGAGGTTTCAGCCCGGAACCAGGACATCGCCGCCGCCGCCGTCGTTCTGATCGATCTGCTCGATACTTGGATGTCTTGCTGCTACTGCCTTTTGTATTGCATTCCTTGACTTGATTGGGCTGTGGCTTGGTTGAGCAACTGAGCTGGCCCATCTGCAGTATGTTGGGCTCCTAACATGGGCTTTCAATTAACTTGTTATTTTACGTGCTTCATTTCGTCAACTCTCTGCTACTAAGAGTTCCTCAATTTAACTTTCCTTCTGGAATCTGCATTAGGATTTTTCTTTAAAAAAAAGAAAACAGTCTCGGAGGCAGAACCATGCATTAGGATTTTTAAGAAAACACTATGAGAGGCAGAACCATGCATAGTAAAAATACCATCCCTATGAATTAAACCAAGGACTTGTCCTTGTTTTTGTAGTATGGCCTTATTTTGCACAGGCCGTCCTAGAGATAGTAAGGACGATGAGCACGCTGATTTTGAATTTCTACCTACTCTTCCACGATATCAAGTCAATATAAATAAAATATCAGCAACCTCTCCAAGCAGTTATCAGAAAAACACCCAATTAAGATGACGCACCTATATTTGTATATTTGAACTTAAAAAAGTTAGTATGTACTATGTGTTAAGAGCCTAAATTATGTAAAGTGAGCCTTATCCTACGAGATCACCTTCTTGCTTATGCATAATTGGTATTAAAATTAAGCATTTTGAGATGCCACTGAAACCACCTTGGTCTTTTCTTCTGATTTGTCCTCTTTTGCTTATTTGAGATGCCAATCTTAGGTTTCGCATTACGAGTCCCTTCCAGCACTTGTGATCGATCTGGCTCGCGTTTAGGGTTTTCAGTTTGGCAATAGAAATATTGGGCGTCCCTCCTCTCTGCACCT